TCATTATAAAAAAAAAAGACCTTTAATGAAAATCACTTTTGTGGGCATGAGTGAAAACAATTCTTATTCATTTTAGTCCATTTGTGATTAATAATGTTCATTTGATATTTTTCAGCATACCTGGTTGATAAAGTCAAAATCAAAGGCTATTATGCATTCAAACTCACTGAAGAAAAATCTAAACCCAGATTTGGATTCTACACATCCGATTTCAAAGCTAAATCTTCAACTAACTTTTACAACAAACTGATCAGCAACAGTGGCTTCCCATCTATGAATAGTCTTGGATGCAGTCAGACTCAAAGGAACACAGAGTGTACTGCGTGCTTAGTTCTTGTGCAGAAGAAACCACTGATATTCTTTGGTTGTTGCTTCTTCTCCACCTTGGTTCTTTTATCAATTATCATTTTTCATAAGCGAAAGAGAAGAAAATTTTGGAAAGCAAAGAACTTACAACACATACCATTAAAGAAAGGCCACAAGAGAGTTCTTGGCTGAACTGGCCCCATTTTTGTCTGCACAACAGAAAGTTTAAAAATTCACTCCAGTTCCATATACCAGTAACTTACAGAGGATATACCTATATCATAGAAAGAAGACAATTTGATATTTGTGGTAGCCAAGGTGATGACAATCAATGTCTCTCTCTACTACGTGGTTCAAATGAGTTTTCCCTTAGGTGTTGACTGTTGACATCAGTGAATTCAGTTCTTGGATCTACAGATAAAGGCTTCACCTAGGAGCTGCTTCCTGTCATTACTCTCTAACTATCTTTTATAAATACTTATAGCTACTTATATAAAAGAAATTGTTTTTGAAAAACAGACTCCATAGCAAACATTTAAATCTCTTCTTAACACTGGATAGTCAGTGATACAGTCTGTGACTTCTAACAAGGTGCTTTTCCCCTTTAGGTCAGTGGTTCTCAAACAGAAAGAAAAAAACATAACAGGGTTAAGTAGTGCTTGCCTATAGGCAGTTACAGCACAGACTCTTAAGCATATCATCAATCTCTTAGTTTGACTCAATAGAAATAAAAATTGTCAAGCATTTATAAAGCATCTAATTTTGAGGTCTTTTATCAGATCTGATTTTTTAAAAAGTAACATGTTCACTTCCACTCCACAACTCATCTCGTGGAAAGATAATATTAAGGAGAACTAGACCCAAATGCCTGTGAAGATAGAGTAGTCACTCAACCTCACAGTACGGCATCTTTCTTAGACAAATCGACATTTTTTCCTCACTTGATTCTTATAAGGTAACAAAATCAGACCTAGCATACTTAGAAAAATTAAACATTCTAAAAAGTTGTGGTTTTATCATTAGACAAGAAGCCATTTTATTCCATAAGACTTGCTCTCTCCTGAGAAGCTTCACTGTTCTGACACTATATGCATAGATGCCCTCACATGTAAATGCAGCTGTAGTATCTGTACCTAGCAAATGTGACTCTCTGGATGCAATTCAGAAAGTTGATGGTCTGAACGAGTTAAAACTGTTTTTTACATTGCACTTTTTGAAGCTGGGATTAAGTAAATTCTTAAATCTGAACTTGAAGAGTCTGACTCTTAAACTCTATTCTTAAGATCTGTTTAGTGTATTCTAACCACTGGAGGAAGAAACCTTGAATGTAAACCTATTTATACCAACTGTTTTCTTTAATCAACACTTAAAATAACCCATTACACACAGTAACTAGTCACTGTCTACCATCTCCAGAAATTTTAGACTCTTTAAAGTCAAAAGAAAAGCTCTTTGGTTCAAAAAAGCCTTAGTAGGAAACAATACCCTGAATTCAAGCAATTGTGATTGTTTCCCATGTCCACTTATGTCAAGCCAAATTTCATACATGAGATTCTTGTTGATAATAGCAATGTTTTAAAGATACTGCAAAGAGATAACAATCGGTCAATTCAAATAAATGCAAAAGGAATGAGAAATCAATTTGCTATTTGGCTGGCCAAATACTACAATTTTGCTTCTCTCCTTGCCCCCACTGCATCCACTCCAACAGTGGCTCTTTCCAAGAGAGACTTTGCAAGTAATTTTTGATATTTTCTTTGAGAAATAAGTAGGCCTGAGGCTATACATGATTACAATATCTGGCCAACTTTTTAATACACGAACTATGTGGAAAGACTCGTTTTAAATAATCCCTTGGCTTGTTTTTTCCCCTTTGTGCCACATGGCTTCACTGACCCAAGCTCCAATGAATATTCTTTAGGAATTATCAGTTAAATACCTCATTACCAACTTTTTAAGATCTCTGTAACATCCAACCTTCTGAAAAAGAAATGCATATTCAGCCATAACAAAATTTGGAATTTAGTTTTGCTTTTCTAGTCTTTATTTTGTATTTTGTATTTATGGTTTACGAGTCCATAACCATTTTTTAAATGTCTCTACATTTAGAGCTTAAGCTTAAAACTTAGGTCCTCTTTTTTCAAACTTGTCTTGCCATAAACTCCCAAATACTAAAGTCCCAAACCCAAAGCTTACACAGTTCTCCCTTTCTGCCACTTAGGAATTATTTTACTAGTTTTTAAGCCATCACCATTCAAAAATCCTTAGGTAAATACTCTGGCCCATGATCAATTATACTATTCAGGTTTATCTTAAACATTTAAAAATCATAAAAGGTCAGTAAGAAACTGTTGATAGCTTTTGACAGGGTAAGAGTTTTAGAATTTAAGTTTTTGAGTTTTGTTGAAAAAACATCTTAAAATCTAATTAACTTATGTTACATTTTATGTATTAAATATAACCTTGTCATTCACTAACAAGACTTGCTGTCCCAACACTGACTCCCTTCCATCCTCCCAAGATGTGTGACACTGGATTCTTTTTGATTTTCTCAAAATGTAGACTCCTACACCTCAAAGTTGGGGAAATAACACAAATGCTTATTTAAAGACATGGAAGACATCTCTGGAGAGAACTATACTTTCATTTACCACACTCAAGTTATTAAATGGAAATCACTCCTTAGCTACAACCAACCTCCAATAGTCATCTCCTGTGAAGGTCTCACCCAGAATACCAACCCACTTTACTCATGGAAATCACATTTACTCCCACAGCTGCTACTACCACCTGTAGACTGACTCTCAATACCTCTAAGCTCCTGTGATAGTCATTTGAAAATTTCTTCCTCACATTTAGCTTTGAAATCCTGTCAAAACCTTCCAAAACATCTCTTCCAGTCTCACTGGTATTACTGTCTTGGGTCTTTATAACTTGAAACTTTATAACTTGAAAGAGTATAGTTCTCTTCCATGTCTTTAAATAAGCATTTGTGTCCCTGGGTACCATTCATTTGGCAAATAGCTATGTGCGCCAAGCACTATTCTAGGTATTTAAAAAAAAAAAAAAATCGCACCCTCATGAAGGTTACATTCTAACAGCCAAAAAAGCATATAATATAAAACAAAGTAAATTATAAACATTACATTATAAATGCTATGGACACTAACAAGTAGGATAACAGTATACTAGGATACAGGTATAGAGTGAGCACAAGGTGGTCAAGGTGGGCTTCACTGAATACATTTGACTAGAATGGAAGTGGCCACTCCAAAGAGAAGTGACAACTGGAAGGCTTAGAGGCAGCGATACTGATAAACAGGAAGGTCAGTTCAGTCAGAATAGTCAGAAAAGTTAGCAGAGAGCAGTTTGGAAAAAAAGCATTCTGGCTGCTGCTGAGAACATGGGGAAAGGAGGAGCAAAGGTTACCAGTTACAAGGCTAGTACACTAATCCACGTAAAATATACAGGGCTTTTTGTTTCATTTCTACATTATGAAAAATTTCAAAACTTTATCAACAATATAGTGAATCCTCATTCGGCTTCAACAAATAAATTTATGAGTAACTTGTTTCACCGACAATCCCATACAATGCCTACCCCAACTCCACCTCAAATACCTCAAAGCAAATCCTATATCACTCCATCCATTTCTTAAAAACTTATAATCATCAAGCCAAAGATTATATATTTAATGTATAACACTAGAATTAAGAGATTATGGGAAGATTATCAGTTTTGAAAAATATCAAGGACTAGGACATGGGAGTAAATGGCTGAGGCAGGATAAAGAATAACATTGAGAAGATCCTGGACTACAACAACCACATATTCACAAACATAAATTAACGCCATCTTCCAATACTTGCTAAGGCTGTGTCCTTTGTTCCACTTCCCAGCTGCTTTTTCATAAAGTTACTGGTATACATGAATGACTCAGGCACACTTGCCTCACAAATATTCAAATTCACGTCTCTGTGAAATCAGAACACCCCCCAACTCTGCATCCAATAAACAACTAGTGCTGCCTGTCACTGGTACCATATTCTTCTTGCCTGAAATACCCGATATTCCTTCTAAAACCAGATTCAATTCTCTTCTCCCATGAAGTCTTACTAGAATAAGATCCTGTTCTGTTCCTTCTGTTATTGTTCTTTGCACACTAGAATTTACTTAACTGTTTACTTGCCAAATAGCTGGAAAGGTTAATCAGTTTAAGAAAAAAGTCCCAAATCGATACACGATTTTTATTGTGCCTTTTAAATTTCACAGGTAAGTCTCAGGAATCATCCAACATCTTGGTATTTCTGTAGCTGGACAACTGTAAAAAGAAATTGAAATGCCTGTAAATCTCCATCAATGCCCTTGCCCAGGAAAAGTTCTACTCTAAATAATCTAAAACATACTTTAAGATGATGACTTACTGGTTCATATTAAAAATGAGTCAATTCCATCTCTTATTCTGCCAAATTTACTGTGCTTCAGAACACACTTCTTCATTTTGTGGCATTACTACAACTCCACTTTGTTTCTTAGTAAATTAAGATCCCCAACTAAAGCAGTAAAACTTATAGATACAAGGACCTACCTTTGACCTTATTCATCAGC